TTACCATTCACTACATAAAACAAACATGTCATGTGTTAATTCATCACATTATAAAGTACATACACACAACGCTCTTGTCAATTACTGTCACTCTCCTATTATTGAGTTGCAACAGCAGGATATTTATTGACCCATCAAAGCACCTGTTGTCTGGACCAGTTAATTTGTTGCTAAATTATTCCTGTGCAGTGCTAAAGTACCTTTGAAAAACAGCATGTTGTTCATCTCAGTGTTTTCATAGGCGTCAATGTAAGGAGGCACTGTATATCTGACCACAGGCTGGTGATCTGGGTGATGCCTGTCTCATCAAAGTGAGGATACCTATGCCACATAAATCTGACAAAACATTGCTTTGAGTTGTTATGGGGTGTCTGCCAGCACAGCAGTATCTATCAGCAACCCAATTAATTTTATCTCTGGGATGTCAACCAACATATTATGTCAATCTACACAATCTCCTTTGTCTTGCAGACTCATAAACATACCTGACCTTTTCTGAAGACAAGGTTTGGGAAGGTACCTTGTAGTAAATTTATGCATGTCTTGCAAATTCAGAAACACTTATGTGTGCTAGTTTTGTGCTTTACTTTTGTGCAATCTCTATACCATATTAAACTAAATTCTACTACAGCATTTGGAGTTGCTTCAGATGGTAATTTATGAATGGCAGTTTGACTTTAAGTTTGAAGTTGTGGTGGTTCTCAGTAAGTACCTGTACACAGCTTCCCATTGCAACCCAAGCAAAACATACTGAGGCAAAAATAACCTTGTTTTATGCTCAAATAAAAGTTAAAGGGCAACTCCCCCACTTTTCAACTCATTATTCGTTGCTGGTTTTGAAAATAACAGTTTTTCTTCCTTTTAATTCTATGTCACAGAAAAACATTTTTTTGTACCTTTCTTCTTATATTTTTAACCACAGATCATAGAAACGCTCTGTTTTCACATATGTACACTGGTTTGGTGCTGGAGATAATGAACATGTGTTTGAAAAGTGGCAGAATGGGGGAGTTGCCCTTTAAGTAGAAGTCAAGTAGAGCAAAATGGAAAAGAACAAAATTGCAGCCAAATGCTGTCTATACAATACAATACTTGCTTTATTGGTCGATTTGCCCAGATATTCTTTATGCTGCCGAGCAGCGCCCCTGGAGCACTTAGGAGTAAAGTGCCTTGCTTAAGGGCACAAAAGCATTATGTAGGTTACAGGATATTGAAGCCCTTTCGCTCACTCCCTGCAGAATTCCCTGCAGGCGGCTTTTGAATTCGAACCAGCAACTCTCCAATTACCAGCCCACCTTCCTAACCTCGAGGCTACCGCTCCACTTGAGGTAGTATCCAGCGCCAAAGCGTTCAACGTGACATTCCAAGGCAATCTAAAATGGGACATGCAACCATCTTCACATGCAACCCACCCCCCGACCCTCTGACAGTCGACGTCTGCTTTGTCCGTCCAGTGCTCGATTATGCCACTCCGGTGTGGCACCCTGGTCTCACAGCCCCCCAACATAACCTACTTGAAAAGATAAAAAGGCATGCAAACAAAATCATCATGGCCCCCACCTACACGTCCCACAAATCTGCATACAATGAACTGGGCTTGCAATCCTTGGAGTCACGCCGCACCCACCTCTGCAGATCCTTTCCCAGAAGATTGCAAAATCCCAGGATTTAAAGCAATAGCTGCCTCCTCAGACGAGAGGACATGTTAGTGGCAGATCCACATGATCCAGTCACAAACTAAACCTTCCCCAACTGAAAGTCACGAACACAATTCTATTGGTTGTCTGATGTAGGCTGGGAACTGGTAACTGGAAGAATATCGCCGGAGGGGATGGCTGCCGTTTTATGGGCTCCTGACCAATTGAGCTATTTTATGTGTTTTTTGCTTTGTCTGTAACTTAGTTTGTACATAATGTTTCTGCCACCGTCTCTTATGACCGAAAATAGCTTTTGGATATCAGAACAGCGATTACTCACCTCGAACTGGACAAAGAGTTTTTCTTTAACGAGTGGGACGCGTAGGATTTACTAATGCTATCTGACCAGGCACAAATCCCCGTCATTCGCATGAAAAAGAGACGCCGATCCGGGTGCCTTGTGAGAATTCATCGGCGAGTGGGTAACCCGCCTCTACCATCTGTCCTATTGGCCAACGTGCAATCATTGGAGAATAAACTGGATGAGTTCTGTTCGACACTATCCTACCAACAGGACATTAAAAACTGTAATATCTTATGTTTCACAGAGTCGAAATGGACGACATGGATAATATACAGTTGGCTGGGTTTTCCGTGCATCGGAAGACAGACCAGCTACCTCCGGTAAGACGAGGGGTGGTGGTCTGTGTATATTTGTTAATAACAGCTGGTGCGCAAAATCTAATATTAAAGAAGTCTTGAGGTTTCGCTCGCCTGAGGCAGAGTACCTCATGATAAGCTGTAGACCACACTATTACTAAGAGAGTTTTCATCTGTATTTTTTGTAGCTGTCTATTTACCACCACAAACCGATGCTGGCACCAAAACCGCACTCAACGAGCTGTATAAGGCCATAAGCAAACAAGAAAATGTTCATCCAGAGGCGGGGCTCCTAGTGGCTGGGGACTTTAATGCAGGAAAACTTAAATCCGTTTTACCTCATTTCTACCAGCATGTCTGTAATACCTACATTTTTCAAGCAGACCACCATAGTCCCTGTGCCCAAGAATGCCAAGGTAACCTGCCTAAATGACTACCGACCTGTAGCACTCACGTCTGTAGCCATGAAGTGCTTTTTAAGGCTGGTCATGGCTCACATCAACACCATCATCCCAGAAACCCTAGACCCACTCCAATTCGCATACTGCCCCAACAGATCCACAGATGACGCAATCTTTATTGCACTCCACACTGCCCTTTCCCAGCTGGACAAAAGGAACACCTATGTGAGAATGTTGTTCATTGACCAACAAACTATCATTGTCCAAACACACCAAGACAGTCGTGAAGAGGGCACGACAATGCCTATTCCCCCTCAGGAGACTGAAAAGATTTGGCATGGGTCTTCAGATCCAGTTTGGCAACTGCTCGGCCTCCGACCGCAAGGCACTACAGAGGGTAGTGCATATGGCCCAGTACATCACTGGGGCAAAGCTTCCTGTCATCCAGGACCTCTATACCAGGCGGTGTCAGAGGAAGGCCCTATCTCCATCACAGTTTCATCAAAAATGGTGTCATATTGGCTTAGATGTGATGTTAAGAAGATGTGATGGTAAGAAGATTTGAATTTAACATTAGCATTGATCAATGCCTACCTACAACACAAACCAAAACGACGAGTGTAAATGATGTATACCAAAGTCGGATGCATACCAAATTTGGTTAGGGTTAAAAACCTCAAATCGAGTATGAAGAACTTTACTTCACTCTGTGATCAAACAAATAAACACAAGTTAGGTTGGTGTGTTTTAGCTGGCTATTGCCATTAGGAAAGTACTGTAGTGCTGTGAGAGAGGGGGTGCTGGACAACAACATTGGCCAGGAAATACGTGAGTCAGTTGTTAGATCTGGATTGGAAAACTGTGGGGAAAATCTGGAATCCCCCAAATGACGTGTATTCAATCTGACACCCACTCCTAAACAAGAGCCCTGTGATATGCACGAGTGTCAATCTAAAGTAGTTTAAGTATGCTTTGAAGGACAGGCTAAAGTACAAGAATAGCCAGAGGGGAGAGAGGTTTCCCTACAAATGTTTGCTCATGCCCAGACAGGCAAGACTAAGGATGCATTACCATTATACTGTATGGCTAGCTTCTGACGTCCTGATGCGGAGTACAGTACATTTGCATACAGCCTCTAACATACTGGATGCACACTGAAATGTACACAACATGTATAAACATTGGAAAAGGAGTGAGAAGAAAATGATTATATTGTTCGCTTATTAATTAAAGTTGCGGATTAATTAAATCCAAGCAAGCATTCAGAAGTATTCCAAAATCTGGATAAATCACTGTGGAATATTTTCTTGTGGGAGAAACTTGTTAAACTGATCTTAACCTACTATAAGTAACTTCCCAGATGAGTACAGTGTGTTTCTTTTGAGTTCAAAGAGCGGAAACAGGGGATTACGCAATTCTAAAAACTTAATTGACAAGAGGATATTTCTTATAAGGCAGGATCTTTGCTCCATTACCTTGCACCTGCATCGTCAGAATGCCTTATACTGATGTGACAACTGATAACCTGTTTCTAATGTTTCGTAACATATAATTGGTATCTGTGCAACATTTACCTCTGATTTTCTCCTGTGTCACTTGACTATAATGGTGGTTAGACCAAGCAAAGCAGTGCATGGGGTGGCTGATTCATATCTAGAAAATAGTTTTCTCTAGCCTGGGGACTGTCACGCAAGTTCATGGTTTCTTTCCACTGCTCATACTCATTGGCCTTTGTATTTTATTACAAGAGGGACATTGTGTGATATGGCCATAGCAGTTCTGAGTTTTCTCATAGAAATTGTAGCGTGAAAATAATAAAAGACCTAGCAGTCTAGGCAGACCAGATCAATGTCACACACCATATAATGTTCTTAAATAATTAGTTTAGTTATACCTTGTGGTATGCTAAATCAGTGTGCTGCATGTAGGAGATTGAAATGGGTGTGCCACAGGATTTCTTCATTGTTATTCTCTATCTATCTTATTATATTAGCCATTCCATTTGTTATGCTTTCATGTACCTTAATATAGATACACATTCTACTGCAAATGTTTGTCTGTGGAGATTGAATAGCTGTGTGATCAATTGTATACACTTGTCAGCAACGGGTGTAACTGAAATAGCAGAATCCACTAATTTGAAGGGGTGTCCACATACTTTTGGCCATGTAATGTGTCTGTTGGTTGTGTATTTGTTTAAGTGAATTGTTTGGTAATGTCGTCTGAGGTTTCATCAGAAATGGGTTCAAATTAACATCTCTGTTTCATAATGTTTCCACCATAAGTCCACCATAGTAAAAGCCAAAACAAAGAAATCACTAAAACTTGGAATTTATTTGAATATGCAAAGTGTACAAATATGTTTGGCCTACATTCAATACATTCATTTTTTCAGCTTATTTAGGTTACAATTTAGTCAAGAAAAATATAAAATAATTTAGATACATAAATAGATATTTAAACAACAACTTCATGTTAGAAACAACTTTGTCATTTGCCTAAATTAATCATTGTTCACAGCTGCTGCTTAAACGTCTCATTATGGTCGATGATCTAACAAGGCAGGAAGTAGCTGTTTCCTAGCACACGGAGCTGTCTTCTGGTCCCCATGTTGTATTCAAACACGTAGGGGCCACTATAGAGGTAGGTGAAGCCTGTAAAACCATATAGGGTAGAGAGGTTAGCAACATGCCACACTGAGAACCTATCAATGCTCAAGAAAATCTAAAATAGGACTTAATAGGACTATTCAGGGGATTTTCTTATATTCAATGAAAACTTTAGAAGGTAGAAAATAATATTTTTTTATATTTACGTCTCCTTGGCTTGTAATGCACAGTTGTGTGCTTAGATGCTGTATCACGCTCACCTCGGACTTGGAAGGCTGCAGTCACTTTGCTTGTCATGCCTGGGAACTGTTCATCCACACGCTTGGGGAAACCTCTGTCCATGCTTTTCATTTCCTCATCATAACTATGATAAAATAAATATTAGTGAGATTGTGATGCTCTTGACATCAATATCTAATGGCAACATACAATACATAGAAAAGTGACAATAAATTATATAGCTTGTAATGATAAACTAGACTCCACTAACCTGTAGTAGTAGTCGCCAACGAAGAACAAGGTCTTGCGAGAATCTTCATCGTACAGTGCGGCGTCAACTTTCTTCACAGTCCTGGGCAGACCCAAGCTCTTCAGGTTTCTGGGATACCCGGGGACGATGTCATAGCCATAGAGAGCCCAGACCTGACGATCTGCAGGGACAGTGACAGAGTATTACTGAGATATGACTCCAATTAAACAGGTTAATGTATTCACACAGTATTCATTACAGGCATATAGGGAGGCTAGTGCTGATATGGTTCTAGCCTCCACAGTTGTTGTCTAGACACCATGTGGAGACTACAGCCATACAAGGGCTAATTTGAGGCAATTGGTGACTCTGCAATACCTTTAAAGAGGAACACTCTGTCAGATAGCATGCTCTCATAAGCTGCATTGATGTTGTTGGGGAGTTCGGGCCAGAAAGTCTTGATGAGGTTCTGCTGTGGTTTGCTGCTCTGAGGGTAAATACGCCAGAAGAACCTGAAGATGGAGGGAGGACATCAGGACGTTAGAGCTCTGGATCACAGATTACACGGCAACCATTTTGTTTCTCTGGGAAACAGTGTCATTCATTGGCTGTGTCTGAGCTGTAGGTTACCATAAGTCACTGAACATCTGATCTAGGCTATATGATGTACTGTACCTGCCCTTGAAGAACATCTTCTCCCCACGCAGAGTGGTGACAGCATCCAGGACCAGGGTGGGGTCACAGGCATCAGGGGTGGAAGCGGGTGTAGGGTCGGGCTTATCTGGGTTAGGGTTAACATCTGGGTTTGGGCCTGGAGGACACAGATACTCATTAGTTCCAATTCCAATATTGGACAGTCTCATAAATGAGTTACTTGGAGATCAATAATATAACGTATTTTGCATGAGCCTTTTTGTTAGTCAGTCAAAAGAAGTGGAATACAGCAATATAAAGCTAAACCAAACAGGGCAGAAAGAGAAAAGATAATTCAATACTGACCGTATATGTACTGGATGCCGTTGACGTCATCACGAGGCAGAGAGAAGGTTCTGGGCTCTGTGTAGCTGTACACTGGGAACATCAGCGCTCCAGGGTCGTCGGAGTGGCTGAGACCCAGGGAATGGCCAAACTCATGGGCAGCCACCAAGAACAGGTTGTACCCTATATGATGAAAATACATCATTCTTCTACTATTTTGTGGCAATTTTCATGACATTTACATTTTAGCAGACGCTTTTAACAAGGGCACATCGATATATTTTTCACCAAGTCGGCTTGTGGATTCAAATCAGCAACCTTTCGGTTACTGGCCCAACGCTCTTAACCGCTAGGCTACCTGACACTTCACCCAAGATTGTCCTACAATTGAAACAGGGTAAATGTAGTAAATTAAGTCATGTTCCACATTTATTGTTGTGATAGAGGGTCTCACCTCTGGTTGAGCTGAAGGTGAAGTACTCGTCATCGTCAAAATGAGCATCTCCTCCAATGTCAGCGCCGGGGGCGAAGGCATGGGCCAGGGTGCCTTCAGGGCCATCGAAGGGGTAGAAATCACCATGATCTACACAGACAGGAGAAATAATAGTATGAGCCATCAGAGATGAGGTGGTCCTCTGTAGCTCAACTGGTAGAGCACGGCGCTTGTAACGCCAAGGTAGTGGGTTCGATCCCCGGGACCACCCATACACAAAAAATGTATGCACGCATGACTGTAAGTCGCTTTGGATAAAAGCGTCTGCTAAATGGCATATTATTATTATTATTATGAGGACAAATGCATAATGTATATAACAAAATGAATTATTAATGTTTGTTTCTCAAACCGATGCACTTACATGGGCCCAATGTAACACCCCAGAGGGTGACATAAGGCAAAATGACTCTAATAACACCCTTTCAACTCATCAAACTGTGTAAAGACAGATTACAGTGAGGGGGACAAGCAGTGTTATGATACTGATGCCATTGTGGATGTGTTTGTTTATGAGTGGTGTTGATGTTGGTTATGTAAGTGGTATGGGGCGGAGGGTGCCCCTCTGTTCAATGGCTTTTAGCCAGGGAATACTGTCATAATGTCTGAATATATCTGCACTGTGCTCTGACAGGAGGAATGTAAAGAGTGGATCCTCCACAGGTATCTCCCTCCCTCCCTTTCTAACCCTGCTACTCAAACATCCTGAGAGCCTTTTAAGTGTCTGTCTGTCTTTCATTTTTCAGTTTTGAAGAACAACTCCAGCCTCCCTAGCACCTCATTTATCACCTGATTTACCTCACAAAAGGTGCATTTTAGTAGCTGGTGCAGGGCTCCTAATGAAATGGCACAAGTTGGGGGGTGGGCCTTTCCTCTTTTACATTTACATTTACGTCATTTAGCAGACGCTCTTATCCAGAGCGACTTACAGTTAGTGCATACATTATTCTTTTTAGAATATTTTATTTTTATTTATTTATTTTTTCGCCATGCTCTACCAACTGAGCTACCTCCCTGCCGGCCATTCCCTCCCCTACCCTGGACGACGCTGGGCCAATTGTGCGCCGCCCCATTGGTCTCCCGGTTGCGGCCGGCTACAGCAGAGCCTGGATGGATGGGTTACTGAACCCATCCATCCAGGCAAGGGGGGAGGCCGATGATATCAGAGTGCACCGATCAAACCAGCTCATTTAATTGCCAACTCGTTGAATTTAGCAATTGTCTAAAAAAACACTATTTTGCTCAAAACATATTTTTTCACCCTTAAGTGTGTGTACTTTACTGTACTTTTTATACTTGGAATTATGTTTTTCCAACAGAGAAATTAATATATATATATATATATATATATATATACATGGAGTGGATCTTTAAATGTGTGCATTCTTAGCGTACATGTACAGTATGACATGTTGGTGCATCAGACCTATGGTCTTGTACCAATATTATTGTTATAATAGCTTATTAGTAGCTTTGACAAACATATTCAGTAACCCATCCAAGTACTTCCATGTTACACTTTCTAAATATTTAAGGAATTCTGTTTCAGTAGGTCACATTAACATTGTGTTAGGTAAGATACAAGTTTCTTACTTCTGTTGCCGAAGGAGATCATGATGTCAGCGGTGCCGCTGTAGATACGGGTGAACCTCAGGGGGGAGACCTTGGCCCACACCTGTAGTGCTCTCTCTATGGAGTTGTCCACCTCAGCCACAGACATGTCAGGAGTGTAGTTCTCAATTCTGAAGAAGACAATAGACCAACAGTCAACATTAGAAAAATATTTCTCAATGTAGAAAAATGTTTTTTGGTTTGTTCAGCAAACCCTGACTTTGGCCTATCACTCATAGTGTCTCTGTGTATAATTTGATGTTTGCCAATACAAAACCTTTGATTGACACATTAATTTTTATTTATTTTAGTCATTTAGCAGACACTCTTATCCAGAGCGACTTACAGTGGTGAGTGCAACAAACAGTTTGGTGTAGTTGAGTGTTTTTCTCAAAATGTAAAGACCACCTAATTGGTATTGCAACTAACTAAATGTTATCATTACAAACCCTACTTTTGCTAAGTGTCAATTCACCATGGTCAACTTGTTTTTCTCACTCTTCTCACCTGTAAGTAAGCTGGTTTGTCTGCCACTTAAGGTTATCGAAGGTGGTGAATCGGCTGAGTTGGACGTCAGGTACCCCGCAGCGTGGCTTCTTCATCATCGTCACGGTCTCAGCGTCCAAGGTTCCTGTCACCTTGAGGCCAAAGAACCTCTGCATCTCGCTGACTTTCGTGCTCCGCTGGCTGGGCCCCCGTCTGAACATCGGACCCGTCTCCTCCGTCAGGTTAAAGAACCTCTTTAGGTACGTCTACAGAAAACACAGCAAGCATGAAGTTATAATGATAGTACATTATAGTGCCATTTACTACAGTTATGCATTTAATCTCCTCTGGTATGTGTACAAGGCTCACACAGCAAGAATTCAATTACAGAATGACTTTATTGTGTTATGAGTATAGCAACTAACTAAGCAAGGATTTCAATAGTTCTTGCTCTTCAACACAACCAATTATAATATATATATATATATTTTTTTGTTTTCCTTTATTTAACCAGGTAAGTCATTGAGAACACATTCGACCTGACTGATCCATATGAAGTAACATGAACACATCTGTTCCATCATAATATTTTCAGTTGTGAAACCCATAAAGACCCTCCTTCCAAAATATTTGACAAAAAGCATACCTCTGCTAGGGCTTCATCTTCTTCAGTAGGTGGCGATACTGGCAAAGAGTAAACCACTATTGCCAGGCTGACTAGTAGTAAGCACAGATTTAAAGTCTTCATGATGCTTCTTCCTTGAGAGCGTCTTGTTTGTGTGGTGTGTGGCCAGGGGTTGTCTTATATAGGCTTAAAGCCTGGGGAGTTGGGTAATGTCTCAGTGAGTAATCACTGTCAAAACCCTCATCATTAAACAAGAGGAAGGAAATCAAGGTAATGTAAAAGGTGATGACAGATCAGCAAACACATTTTCCATAACAAAGGAATTATGACAAAGACAAAAACACTGCCTTAATCTACTGTATTTACACATTGTCATATTTGTTATTTGTCACATAATCAAGTCATTGATTGATCGTTATGTTAATCATTTATGTCCCAATGGAAATATGTACTTTTTTATCTAGATCTAACTGATCATTATGTACTATAAGTTGGAAAAAAGAATACTGCCAAAAATGTATTCAGACACAAAAAAAGCTTTAAATAATGCTTTAACAAGCTTTAAATATGCTGACATACCAATCTACAGTATTTGATATTTCACATTCTACATTATCACCAAGTGTGTGTGAATTTTTGTTGTTGTACTGGAATGTATCACTCCCTCAGAAAGGTGTGTTATTGCATGTATAAGAAAGAAGGATTATTTCGATCATCTAAAGTTCAGACAGGAAATGACACATATTTGTTTAATCATTTATTAGAAAAGATTACAATACATGCAATACATTAGTCTTGGCGTTAAGGTCTCTGCTCCTTCGTAGTATCTCCCCTGCAAACAACAATGAGTCGTTAGGATGTCACGAAATGGTCGCCTAAAGTCATCAGGACGTTGTGTCATGGTCCCCTGGAGGTTTTGTCTAGTTCCCTGTTGGTCCCAGGGATGTCCCCGGGGACGTTGTAGGAAGTTCTTGGGACTTTGTGTCATAGTTCCCTGGAGTTTTTTGTCTAGTTCTCGGTTTGTCCGGAGGACGTCACCTGATGGTCGCAAAGAAATGCCCCCCCCCCCACCCCCATCCTAGTTTAGTAACACATTACCCCTTGTTACTGTTGCAAAGCCCATCAAGGCCCTGATTGGTGAACCACTGATCCAGTCACAGCTCTTTAAATCATATCAAATCAAATTGTATTGGTCACACACATATATTTAGCAGATGTTGTTGCGGGTGTAGCGAAATGCTTGTGTTCCTAGCTCCAACAGTGCAGTAGTATCTAACAATTCACAACAATACACACAAATTTTAAAGTAAAATAATGGAATTAAGAAATATATATTATAATATATTATAATGTCTGGGTGGTATTGACTAAAATACAGTAGACTACAGTATATACATAGGAACTTACAATCATTGAGGATGACATAAAAAGTGATACACCTAATAATTTACAGTTTAAGTAGATTCATGTTATATTGATTATGCCAAAAACAGCCTACATTTTTGGCCATTAATTTAATATAGGCTACTATTTATTTGAGGTAATACAAACGGTTCCTTTCAGCATAAATGCCACTCCCTAAACCGCCTCAGCGACTTTATGAAAAGTGTTAATCACTACATACAGTAGGTGGTGCCCTCTTAAAACCCCACAGAAGAAGCCGAAAAGCTTCAACAGGAAGTTCTTTGTACCATCCTCCATCAAGTTTTTAAACCGTCTTTCATACTTAGCCAGTAGCTTTTGGAAATAAAATGCCACAGGCTTTGGAACTAAAGAACAGTTTTAATTGTTTTTATTTATCACCCCCGAACGTTTGGAAATACCGAACAATAAGACACTAATTCAGTCGATAATAGATAGAGCACCAATTCGCTAGCTTGGATTTTGAATCATGCATGGAGTGATAGCGGGGTGAACAGGCCATGGCTCTGGTGGTTGATGTCCTTGATTATCTTTTTGGCCTTCCTGTGACATCAGGTGTTGTAGGTGTCCTGGAGGGCAGGCAGTGTGCCCCTGGTGATACATTGGGCAGACCGCACCACCCTCTGGAGAGCCCTGCGGTTGCGGGCTGCAGTTGCCGTACCAGGCAGTGATTCATCCCGACAGGATGCTCTCAATTGTACATCTGTAAAAGTTTGTGAGGGTCTTAGGGGCCAAGACAAATTTCTTCAGCCTCCTGAGGTTGTAGAGGCGCTGTTGCGCCTTCTTCACCACCCTGTCTGTGTGGGTGGACCATTTTAGATTGTCAGGGATGTGTACGCCGAGGAACTTGAAGCTTTTCACCTTCTCCACTGCGACCTGTCGATGTGAATTGGTGCGTGCTCTCACTGTTGTCTCCTGAAGTCCACGATCAGCTCCTTCGTTTTGTTGAGGGAGAGGTTATTTTCCTGGCACCACTCCGCCAGGGCCCTCACCTTCTCCCTGTAGGCTGTCTCGTCATTGTTGTTAATCAGGCCTACCACTGTTGTGTCGTCTGCAAACTTGATGATTGAGTTGGCGGCGTGCGTGGCCACACAGTCATGGGTGAACAGGGACTACAGGAGGGGGCTGAGCACGCACCCTTGTGGGGCCCCTGTGTTGTGGATCAGCGTAGTGGAGGTGTTGTTTCCTACCTTCACTACCTGGGGGAGGCCCATCAGGGCCCCGAGCTTAATGATGAGCTTGGATGGTACTATGGTGTTGAAGTCTGAACTATAGTCAACGAACAACATTCTTACATGGATATTCCTCTTGTCCAGATGGGATAGGGCAGTGTGCAGTGCAATGGCGATTCCATCATCTGTGGCTCTATTGGGGCGGAATGCAAATTGAAGTGGGTCTAGGGTGTCAGGTAAGGTTGAGGTGATATGATCCTTAACTAGCCTCTCAAAGCACTTCATGATGACAGAAGTGAGTGCTACGGGGAAATAGTCATTTAGTTCAGTTACTTTTGCTTTCCTGGGTACAGTAACAATGGAAGCAAGTGGGGACAGCAGACTGGGATAAAGAAGAGATTGAATATGTCTGTAAACACTCCAGCCAGCTGGTCTGTGCATGCTCTGAGGATGCGGCTTGGTATGCGGTCTGGGCCGGCAGCCTTGCGAGGTTTAACACTCTTAAATGTCTTACTCACGTCGGCCACGGTGAATTAGAGCCCACAGTCCTTGGGAGCGGGCCGCGTCGGTGGCACTGTGTTATCCTCAAAGCGGACGAAGAAGGTATTTAGCTTGTCTGGGAGTAAGACGTCGGTGTCCGCGACGTGGCTTGTTTTCCCTTTGTAATCCGTGACTGTCTGTAGACCCTGCCACATACGTCTTGTGTCGTTGAATTGCGACTCCACTTTGTCTCTGTACTGATGTTTTGCCTGTTTGATTGCCTTACGGAGGGAATAATTACACTGTTTTGTATTCAACCATATTCCCAGTCACCTTGCCATGGTTAAATGCGGTGGTTCGTGCTTTCAGTTTTGCGTGAATGCTGCCATCTATCCACAGGTTTTGGTTTGGGTAGGTTTTAATAGTCACAGTAGGAACAACATCCCCCGTGTCCGTGTATACGTCAATGTTTTTCTCATAGGCAACCCGGAACATATCCCAGTCCGCATGATCAAAACAATCTTGAAGCATGGATTCTGATTGGTCAGACCAGCGTTTTAATTACCTTAGCACGGGTACTTCCTGTTTGAGTTTCTGCCTATATTAAGGGAGGAGCAAAATGGAGTCGTGATCTGATTTGCCGAAGGGAGAGCGGGGGAGGGCCTTGTAGCCATCCCAGAATGGGGAGTAGCAATGGTCGAGAGTTTTTGTAGCGCGAGTGCTACAGGCAAAATGTTGATAGAACTTCGGTAGCGTTTTCCTCAAATTTGCTTTGTTAAAAGTCCAGTAACGTTCCTTTTAGGGCAGTCATGGTATCGGCTTGAGGGGGAATATTACTATAACCGAAGATAATTCTCTTGGGAGGTAATACGGTCGACATTTGATTGTGAGACATTCTATGTCAGTATGAAGAAAAGGACTTGAGTTCCTGTACGTTATCACAATCACATGTTAATCATGAAATATACACCACCGCCTTTCTTCTTCCCGGATAGTTTTTTATTCCTGTCTGCGCGATGTACTGAGAACCCAGCTGGCTGTATGGACGGGGACAGTATATCCGGAGAGAGCCATGATTCCATGAAACAGAGTATGTTACAGTCCCTGATGTCTCTCTGGATGGAGATCCTCACCCTGAGCTCGTCTACTTTATTGTCCAAGGACTGAACATTAGTGAGTAAAATACTTTGAAGCGGTGGATGGTGTGCATGCCTCCTGAGTCGGACTAGAAGTCCAATCTGAATATCTCTTCTCCGCCGGCGGCATCTTGAAGCAGCCTCTGGGAAAAGTTAAATTGCCCTGGGGGGTACGAACAAAGGATCCAATTCTGGAAAGTTGTATTTCTGGTCATAACACTGGTGAGTTAGCGCCGCTCTGATGTCCAAAAGTTATTTGCGGCTGTATGTAATAACACAAAAAACGTTCTGGACTAATAATGGAAGAAATAACACAAAAAAACGAAATACTGCAAAGTTGCTTAGGAGCTAGAAGCAGAGCTGCCTTGTCTGTTGGCGCCATCTTCTTTGTCTATTGGCAATGCTAGAGACACCCACACAAACAGTGCTTTTAACATAGTGTTTTCAACTTAGATATTTGACACTTTGACATACATTATTACATTACGTATGTTTATTCATACAACCTCTTGGTTCACGGCATTCCGGTCTTCCTCCTACGCCACCATGTCTGTATCAATGACTGATTTCACCTGTAGGCCTATTCCTACACTTTGCACTTCAAAGTAAATCTCAGCTCTGTTAAAAATACACTGAAGACAAATGATTGTATTTATGATAATGATTCAGGAGTGACATTAAAATAGAATAATATGCACCACTAACATTTAGACAACTATACTGAAAACCCAAACTCAAATGGCTGAAATAAGTCAATTAAATCAATGAGAGATCAATCAGATTAACTGATAACTAAAATAGCAGTGCAGATGGTTTTCTTTTGCAGAGATGTATTATAGGTAAGGAATGTGTAGGGGACTTCTGAAATTCTACAGATTGTTTTGAAAAGTCAGTACAAAGTGATCATGTCAAATGTAATCACTTATTTAGCTGAACAGCATAACACATACCTTAAAACATCCATACCATTTCATGACTTTAATTAT